AAGCGGGGTTTTTTCTCCCTTCCTGCTGCACATTTTGGGGTGAAAAATTTTTTTTGGTCGGGTTTTTCGGAGCTTCGGCGGCTACGCGGCGCGCTTACAGACCGTTTGTCTGTCTGCCGGCATCGCGGGTCGGCGTGCTATTTTCGTGGGGCGGTTTCTTTGAATCGTGTAGTCTTTTTTGAGGCTGTTTCATGAAAATGAGTAGTCTTCTTGAAGGCGGTTTATTTAATTTTTGTTTTTTTTCAAAGGCAGATCTTTTAGGGCCTGGGGGGGGGGAAGGAGTATAGAGGGAAGGGGTTGAATCTCAAAAATTTTTTTAGTTTAATTCTCTTAAAGAAATGAAGTTCTACATCCGCAATACCCTTCAAAAAATATTTTCACCCCCCCCGGCCCACAAAAATTTTAAAAAATTTAACTTGGTCCCCCCTATTGATTTCAAAAAAATTTTTTTTAAATACAAAAAAATGCATCCACCCTAACAAAATACCCTGCCCAGCTTTAGCTTCACTTTATTTTTCCTTTTTTTGTGTTTGGCGCGCTCCAAAAAGTCAGGCGTATTTTGCAGCCGGCTGTCTCGTGGACTTTCTGTGGGGTTTACGCGGCTGCTTACTGAATATACCCTGCGGTTTTTTGCAGCTGCTTCTCAAAAGCTTTAGGCTCGGGTTTGCAGCAAATTTTTAATGGGTTTGACGGTGGTTTTTAGGCTTTTTTAGGGGGTGGTTTTGAGTTTTTAAGGGGGTTAAAAAGGGATTTTTAGGTTTTTTAAAAAAATTTTTAAATTTTTAGGGCATTTCATAAAATTTTATGCCGTTCCAAAGTCCTTTTGGCTGTTTAAAAGTTCTTTGAAACCTTTTAAAATAAAATTAAAAAAATTTTTTTTTTATTTTTTACCCCACCCAGCCAAATCAAAGCCAATCGAAATATAAGATAAAAAGCTCAATGAAACTTTTTTGTTCGTGCCGGGTGAGGTCAACAGGAAGTGGCAGGGCCATTGCGGAATGTAAACAAATGGACCGGAAGATTGTAATCTAATAGTAATAACTATGGAAAAATACGCTTTTTTGCCGCAAAAACTACCCATTCTGCAAAAATAATGTTCTTTGTTACTTTCGAAGATTGGAATTAAAGTTTTTGTGGAATTTTGGAAGTGTAATGACAAATTGACGAGTTATGGCTAAAAATGTTCAAGTTCTAGCCTTTTTTCGCCCGAAATTTCGAAGTTTTACCTTTTCAAAACCAAGATAAACGTTAATTAAATCATGAAAAAAGTACAGAAACATCAAAAAATATAAAATCAATCTTCAAAATCTTCATTTCCACAAAAAAAATCCCAAAAAACCGCTCAAAACCCACCAAAAACACCTCCAAACCCCTCAAATTCCGCCAAAAACTCCTTCAAATGCCAATCATGCCAACCCGCCCAACTGCCATTCTTTTCCAGTACAGTAAATTGAATTTGAATACCATTCAGACGGCTTTGACGCCACGACTGACCTTCATTTCCAAAGTGATTCACCTTTTCTTCGCACCTTTCTCTGTCCCACTCTGGCCGTTCTCTTCGTTTCGCACGTTCTCACGGTTTTTGACCTCGAAAAACAAGAGAGCGCGAGAGAGCGTGCGAAACAAAAACGAACGGCCGGAGAGCGAAAGGAAGAAGCCGAAAAGAAGGGGAATGGGGTGAGAGAGAAGAAAAATGGGGGGAGCGCAGACAGTGGAATGGAAAGAATTTTGGGATTTTGAGGTTTTATTATATTTTGGCATGGATAAAAGGCAAAAATAGATTCTAGTAAAATAAAAAATGGCTCGAAATTAATAAAACAATACATTTTGAAAAATTTTTCACGGCAAAGTAAAAAATACAGTAATCAATGGAAAGCACTGAAAAAGAAGAAAGAACACGTCATTGTGAATAACATAAGATTCCGTGAGATAATCCCAACACATTTTGCAAATAAAATTTCGAATCTCAAGATATAAATGGCTTTTTCAAAAGGAAACAAAATATTTTACAGTTGAAGTTAAGCCTAAAGACATCATTTTTAATGAAAACATAGGTAAAAATGTGCAAAATAAGCCTAAAACATTATCCAAAAACAAAAATTAAGGGTAGTGAAAGCAAGAAAAATAGAAAATAACCTTTTTATAAGTAAAAAATGATAAAATACGACTCCTCCATTGTAAAAAACAAAGAAAATGTGAAAGAGGCCTAACATAGAAAAAAATAAGCCTAAAATAGACTGAAAAAAGCACAATAATTATTTAAAAAATAAAAATTAAGCCCAAAAAATTTCTCTTAATACTAAAAACAAGCCTAAACATGCCTTAAAAATTGAAAAAAAGCTTAAAGGCCCACTAAATCTCAGAAACAAATATAGAAAGTACCCTACCTGCCCCGCTCAGAATCAGCTCAAGATTTTTATATGAATTCTTTGTACCACCAATAGTATCCATAAAAAACTTTAGCTGGCGCTTTTGAGTTTTAAATTTAAATTATTTGTGTTTCCCGCCAATTTGGCAAATTTGGCATTGTGTTTCAAGCACTTTTTTGATGTTCCAGATAAGTTAGGCTTACAAATTTATAAATTTAGGTTCATTTGAAGCTTTTCTATCATTATATCAAAGGAAAATTCCTAAAATTCAAAAAATGAGAAAGTTAAAAGCTTGAGACACTATGCCAATTTGGCGGGGAATTCAAAACGCAATTTCGATTTTTCCAATTCTGGCCGCAAACCGCAACTTAGAATTTTGCATAATATCTTTACAGCCTTGAAATTGGCATGAACTTTCTTTATCGCACAGGAAATAACAAGAACTTTCCTTACATAACATAAAATGGCAAGAACTTTGTTTACAAAACAAAAGATGGCAAGAACTTCCTTTACAGAACTGACATTGGCAAGAACTTTATTTACAGAATAAAAAATGGCAAGAATTTTCTTTACAGAATAGAAAATGGTAAGAACTTTCTTTACAAAACACAAAATGGCAATAACTTTCTTTACAAAACAAAAAATGGCAAGAACTTCTTTCTTTGTAAGCCTAAAACATTTTAAAAATTAAAAAATAAGCCTAAAACTAAAACAAGCCCCATCTTCCCAATACAACCAAAGTCATGGCAATAATTACGTTGTGCAGAAAAACGTAAAAAATTCGTGTTAAAGGCAAAAAACAGGACGTTTTTCCTTGCGGGCCGCTTCTTCCGTCCTAGCCATTCACTTCAATACTCGGCTGTGTCGATTTGGGGCCGCTGCACTTTCCCCTTTATCTACTGAAAATATTAAGGAATCTTAAAGGCTTCAGATGCAAGACTTTGATGTTATCACGGCTTTTTGCAGGCTGAGGAAAGCCATAGATAATAAACACGAAAACTTTTAAATTTGCAAAACTTTGAAGTTTGTAAAGAAAGTTATTGCAATTTTTTAATATGTAAAGAAAGTTCTTGCTATTTTATGTTTTGTAAAGAAAGGTTTTGCAATTTGGTGTTTTGGAAAGAAAGTTCTTGCCATTTTCTTTTTTTGTAAAGATAGTTCTTGCATTTTTTTGTTCTGTAAAGAAAGTTATTGCAATTTTTTAATGTGTAAAGAAAGTTTTTGCCATTTTTTTGTGCTGTAAAGAAAGTTCCTGTCATTTTTTGCTTAGTAAAAAAAGTTCTTGCCATTTTTTGTTCTGTAAAGAAAGTTCTTTCTATTTTTGTTCTGTAAACAAAGTTTTTGCCATCTCATTATCTGTAAACAAAGTTTTTGCCATTTTTTGGGTTTGTAAAGTAAGTTTTTGCAATCTTTTTCAATGTACAGAAAGTTCTTGCCATTTTGTTTTGTAAAGAAAGTTCTTGCCATTTTTTGATTTGTAAAGAAAGTTTTTGCAATCTTTATCATTGTAAAGAAAGTTCTTGCCATTTCCTGTTCAGTAAAGAGTTGTTGCCAATTTCCGACCCCAAGCATGATTGATGTACCATGTAAGTTACTTTAATATTCGTCAGACAATATTGTGTCTGGTCGTTTTATTTATTTACCGTTACACTCCAGATGCTATCCCGTTTTGTGGCTAAAAGTGCATTTCCCTCAAACTTTGAACTAAAAACAAAAAAAAATGTCGCGCTGTGACGGGAATTGGTAATCTGCGAACGGAAAACAATCGTTTTGTTGTTATTTTGGGGTTTTCAAATAAAAATTGTAAAAGTGTGGTTGTACTATTATATTATAGTTAGTGGTCGAACGGTAGAGATCACCCATCCCAAATATTTTTTGAAAAAAAAATTTTTAAATCCCAAGTATTTAAAAAAAACACGGTATAACGCCGGTCTTAAGGTACCCCCTCCCAGAAAAAAAATTGTTGAAAAAAGTTGAACGTGGTCCCCCATGTGGATCTTTGGAAAAAAAATCGCAAAATATTGGCACCTGTGCTGATTTTATCCACCCCTGCCCCCGGACCAAAAGTGCCCGCCCGGCCTTGGTAGTACCAAATATAAATAGTTGTTGCTGGGGTGTTTTAGAAAATTACCCCACATTAAAAATTTTTTACCACTCCTTAAACAAAAAGCTAAATCCCCTGCTCTTAAAAATTTCAAAAAACCACCCCTTTAAAAATTCCCATACCCATAAAAAAATTTTAAAAAATTATCCATCCCCGAAAAATTAAATTACCACCTCAATAAAAAACGTTTATTGAGGTTACAGAAACAATGGTTCAAACAATACGAAAAAGGCTTGGTTATGAGACATTGTCATTGGAGAGATCCAAAAAAATTAAAAAAAAACTGATAAAAAATTATTATCAACCACAATAATTATTACTGTAAGTTAAAGATATGTACAAAAGGCGTTGAAAAAATGGTTAGGTTATGGTAAGAATTGCTATGAAAAAAGGAGTTAGTAATGAAAAATGGTACAATTGAATGTAGACCGTACCAAGTTGGTACAATTGGATGTCATAAAGTATAAAAGATGGCATATTTTGGTAATGTTGAACATTTTGAATGCTGAAAAAATGAAAACCATAAATTAGGCGTTGACACGACGGTTTCTGAGCTCGGGACAACGTTCGTAACTGAGTAGTTCGGTTAGAGCTTCCAAGTCCACGTTTCCATCAGGAAGTCTTGGGTAGGCAAAGTAGCCCTGTTTTTCTTCGTAATCGCTAAAAATTACACAAAATTAGTTAAAACATCTTCAAAAAATGATTTTTAAAGAAAGTTTTTGCCTTTTTTTGGTTTTGTAAAGAAAGTTCTTGCCATTTTAAGATTTAAAGAAAGTTCTTGCCCTGTTTTGTTTTGTAAAGAAAGTTTTTGCCATTTTTTTGCGTTGTAAAGAAAGTTCTTGCGTTTTTTTGTTTTGTAACGAAATTTATTGCCATCTTATTTAGCATAACACTCAATAAAGCGTCATCTACCCTTGAATCACCTTGCCAAATTTACCCTACCCTATTTTACTTCACCCTATCTAAACTTAACCTACCTTGCTTTACTATCCACTCCTGATCTGCTTAATCATACTCTACCTTATGCAGCGCTACCCTGTCTTACCTTTTCCACTCCTAATCTACCCTATCATCCTCTACTCCTCTATCGTCCACCCCTGGCCTAACGACCCCATTTTTACCACAAATCCTTCAAAAAACCTACGCAGCCAAGAAGACATGTCTTCCTCTGTTGGCATAATCCTCGGCGACCATCAACGGTGTTGGCAACGCTGTAGCTCGGGCCACGATCTGATGTTCGTAACACAAAGCATTCGAGAATCCTTCAATCGTGTCCATGGTGAACTGAGGCTCATTCAGAAGAACCGAGAACCTTGGAACTTTGGCCGATCCCTTAATGGCCGTGTGTGGTACCAGGAAGAATTGGGCGTACAGCGGGTGTACAATCTTCGTGTCGACCACCGTGCCGGGTAGAACGTTGAATTCGTGATCTCTGGAGTCTTGACGTGCTGGAGGGAACTGCGTTGGGAACAGAGTCAAGTTGTTGACCTTTTGAACTGAGATAACACACAATGGGATGTCAACATTATTGTTGGCACGTCGGATACCCTCCTTCATCAGTGGTACACACAGCTTCAGAATGTTGTCGAATTGACCTTCGGCGACACCGGCGTAGTAGAATACGACGTTTTCTGGGGGATGGCCACGGTTCTCCGTGAAGTACTTGACACAACGCTCGTTGATCTTGACCAGAAGCTTGTAGATCTCATTTCTAAAGAAATACCAGTGAAATTACATTTTAAAGCTTAAATTACAACAAAATATCAATATTAGACATATTGATTTTATAACGAAACGTCAATATTTAATATATTGATTTTAAAACGAAATGTCAAATTTTCAAACATCGATTTTACAACAAAATGCCACAAAAATCAATGTTTCACCTTCTTACCGATAAGCATCGATGTACATGAAATCTCCGGCAAATGTGTCCTTGTCTTCACAGATATTTGCGCAATAGCCCAAAACTCCTGGTTTTTCGTTCTTTCGATTCTTGGTTTGAGCCTTATCGACCGCGGTTTTGGATCCAGGTTGAGAGTTGGAGATACCAATGAACAACGTCTTCTCCAACTGTGCTTGAACCTCGGGAGTTCCGGATTTCACACTGAAGTTGACTCCGCCCAGCTTGAGGTTGGTTTTGGCGATGACATTTTCCAATGTAGCGCCAGCACGTTGGAGAATCTTCTTCACGGTGTTGACGCGGATGTCTTGAGTGGCGACTGCGTACTTGTGTTCCGCGTTCTTCATAAAGTCTGAAATTGTTAAAGTTCTACGTTTAAGTCTAATTGTGTGCCTGATATAACACCTAACAGCAAGCCTAAGACAAATCTTACGACTAAATCTATGCCTGAAACTAAACTACAACTAAGCCTAAGAATAAGCGTATAGGTAAGCCTAAGATAAGCCTAAAGCAAAATGTAAGCTAAGCCTAAAATAAGCCTAAAGTAAAGCCTAAACTGAGCCTAAAATAAGCCTAAAGCAAAATCTAAGCTAAGCCTAACATAAACCTGCAGCTAAGCCTAAAAAATATAATGCAAGCCTAAAAAAATGCCTAATAATAACTTACCATGAGCTGATTTGATGCTGTCTGGACTGATAAAGTAGACAAAATTCACACCGTTTTCCTTGTTCAATCTGATCTTTTCATCCACTTCATTGTCATAAATGTAAGCCGTGTCGGCCAGCTTACCAATATCCATACCGAACGATTTCGCACTAGTTTGAAGCGATTGAACCAGCCGCTTTTGATCAGGTTGGAAGACACATGGTGTAGGCGCAGTGCCCACCACATACATGCTGAAGGCTTCGATTCTGGCGCCACGAATAAATGGCAACTGTCTCCACGCGGCTTCGCCCCGAGTTTGTTGAGATTCGGCGTTCTTGGCGTAGACCATTTTTGGCATTGGCAATTGTCTGGCATTCACCTTCATCACGGTCTTCGAGAACCGGACATCGGCCGCGCCTGTGTACGGTGAGTCGTGAAGTTGGATGGCGCGGGCACCTTTAACCGATTCGTCTTGAAGCACGTCTGGGCGAACGGCCGCGATCTGAAATTGGTGTGTAATAAAATAGCAATATCAAGAGGTGAATTTATAATAATTTGTCATGATGAGAAGACTCATTCACAAAAAATATTAAAAATTTCAACCCCCCCCCCAAATTATAGGTATCAACCCTTACCCTAATCATGTTGGCCTTTTCTCTCGCCTCCATTTGCTTTTCCAACACTAGCTGATTATCGGCTACCATCAAATGTTCAGGTGGGTAGAACATGTGTTGTCCCCTGACCTTGACCGTGGCCAAATGTGCGCATGGGAAGCGCAGCCTTTGGCCGTACCTCTCAAACAGGTATTCTTCAAGCGATCGTTGTTCAATCATATGAGTTTGTGCGTTTTTCGCGACAAACGTCGAAATTTCAATCTTCCGCGCTCTTCGGTGTTCAACAACGAATGTCATGTTACGAAGAACCGAGGAAATGTGGCGTAGAGCGTTGTCGGTACAATGGCCGCTAATAAAGCTGTTGTAATACCCTTCGAAGGGGCCGTATCTGCGGATGTAGTCGATCAGATTAAGAGTCGAGTGAAATGGTGATCTTCTGGCTAAAAAAATGATAATTTAAGTTTAAATTTGAATTTAAAGTTGCTTTTTATAGGGTGTGCAAAAAGTTCTGTTACAAAACCTTACCGGTAATTTCAAAAGCAATGAAAATTGCAAAAACTTACTTTCCAGCATCATACCAACTGCCGGTTTGCATCCCTCCCATCCCTCGATAAAACAAGCACTTCTTTTTACACCAGCCGCCAAAAACTTAGTGCCACCGTCGTCCAAGGGGCATTCAGGAAGGCCAAAACGTTCAGCGTCCACAACATAAGATGATGATCCACGAAGAGTCAAAAATTGGTTTCTAAAAAACAGTGAAAAATAACGATAACTTGCATTAAAAAACAAAAAACAACAAAAACTTTCTTTACAAAACTCAAAATAGCAAGAACTTTCTGTACATAGCCTAGAACAACAACAACTTTGTTTAAAGACGAAAAACTTACTCATTAAACATTGGCACCTGATTGACCATCAACTCGATAATGTTCATGATGCTCCTGTCCTTCCTTCCAGTTTCCGGATTATGAATCGTAGTCAAGTCGTTCAGCTGAATACGATTCGAGACGGCTTTCTTAATCAAAATTCTAATTTCTCCAATTCCTGCAAAAAGTCTTGCGATCGTTTCATCTTCAATATCAGACACAGGAATAGCCAACTCTTTACTATCCTTCTCGATTGGAAGTTCAAACAATGAGTACAACGTGGATTGCAAATCGTAGTAGATGCGGTGGATGTTCGTACCAAATAAGTCAGAATTTAATCTGAAGATTTCCCGCCACGCCGCACGACATACGGTGACACGGTCCGCAATAACAATCCTAAAATAAGTGATATTAATGTAGATATATCAATCCCTTTGTTGTTTAGCTGACTAACTTAATAAACTAAATTCCCTGTAAGTTTCAAGCTTTCAACTAATTTAAACATTAAGTTATAATTAAAAGAAGATTATCCATGCAGTTTGGCCCAAAAACTGATTTTTTCCTTTCAAAAACTAAAACTTTAACCTGTAACAAGGTAAATGTAACCTTAAGCAAGATACAATAAGCATAATTAATCTTTTCATAGCAACCAAAGTTCAAATACCTCTGTTTCTTAACCGTTTTTGGCCATAAGTTTCCACCAAACACCTAAAAACCAACAATAATAAAAAAGACTTACGATTCCTCCGATTTCTTCGAAAACTCGACTTCTTTCCGATTCCTTATCGCTATTCCACTGATCGTGACATCGTACCTAAAGATCTCCTTCTCTGGAATCTTGACCGCATAAATGTTGGTCAAAACTTGTATGGGCTTTCCAGCTTTTCCCGGCTCTGGTTTCGGCATAAGCTCAGTTGAACCTTCGGAGATTTCAAGACTTCGAAGCAGCTCCACAGCTTCATTCTCGATCTTTGTTTTCTCAGTTAGCAAATTTTTGTTGGGATTTAGTGTCGTCTTGCCCCCCGACATGGTTTTTGGTTTTCTAGGTTTGAAACCTAACAGCATAGGAAAATATTACAGTATTCTCTTGGTTAAATCAAGATAAAGTACGGTTTTGGTACTTTTAAGCCATATAATAGCTTTTAAATACCACAGAGCACGAGCAACTCACAAAAATGTCGTTCGTCATATAAAATCTCCTCCGGCAGGCAGGAAAATAATAAGTTTTATCGATATTAACAATCAGCCCTCACTTCAGATATAAAAAAGGTCAAAATTTAGAATACAATAGTCGCAAAGCTCTTAAGATCGTCCCTATTACCATTTCCAACCCACTTCTTCTAAACAATTTATCTTAACCCGTGTTGGAAAGGAAAAAAGCATCGCGTATCGTTTGTCTTTGGCCCGAAAATGCCTAAAATCAATGATGCACAGAATTTGCTACGATCGCAAAGGCTGTTTATGCGCCCCTCCGCATTTTGTTTAATATAAAATAGAAAAGGGGCAAAAGGTTATTCACAGGTTAACATAGCTTAAGATCTAATCTAAAAGAAGGTCCACTATCCTAGCTCATTACAAGATCTAGAATGATAAAGATTTCAAAAAATTTTAACAATCACAGAAAGAGTCAGTTGAATATAAAAACTGAGGTTAAACAACATAAGACAAAGCCAGTTGAGTATAAAAACTCAAGTTAAACAATGGCACGAAAAGTCCGTTGAGTATAAAAAATTAATTTAGACAACGGCAGAAAAATTCCGTTGAGTATAAAACTGAGATGTAACTAAACCAATAAAATAGATGCCATAGATGACGCCACAAAATGGAAAGCTATACGATCTGGCTTTCTTTATATGTAATAAACAGCAACGATCAAAGTTTATTTTGGCGCGCTAGAAAGGAAACAATCGCCTATCCCAGGAGGTTCTAAAAAACTCCGTTTTGAGGCAAACATCGGGCGCGAACATTCGCGGTTCGAAAAGCCTCTTTTGCAGCCTGCTCATTTTCCAGGGTTTTTAGACAAAAAATGGTATAAACATAGTTCTAGTTACGAAAACTGGTTGAAATATAATAGACTTTACTACACGGATCCTAGTGGTAAATAACATCCACAGTATAACTGTAAGTTTACTACTTTCCTCTTGAAAATGGGGCTAAAAGCTGACCAGCAGTAAAATAATACGAAGTTTATAGCTGTAATCAGTTTTTCGCAACATTTCAAGGTGTTTTTTGCGTTTATTCAGGTCTGATAAGAAGCTGAATTGCCTTTCCGATAAAAGTGTTCCGTTTACGATAACATCTGTAGCCTTGAATTTTTTTTAACTCAGTTTTTTCTATATTATCCTTGACTTTCTTGCGAAAAACTAGGTTTATTTGAAGCTTTAAAGTTTTTCGACCTTTTAATGGTCTAAACGTGTATAAAACCGCCAATTCATCATTAAAAGAATAATCTAGCCTCTAAAATTTCGGTCGATATCAATAGTGTTGTATATATTTATTTGAGGCACGTAAAAACTTAATTTACAACTATAGGTATATATTTGGAAATTATGACACCGTAATGAGTTTGTATTTGTAACCGAGACAACAATGAGATAAAACAACGTGTTCATCGCACAAGATAAGAAATTGTATTTGAAACTTGAAGATTTGGTTAAAATTTTTAAAAAAGGGTAAAGCTGTACACTTGAGACTTGAGGATGGCATAATAACATTACTATTAGGTGCCGACATAAAGAACCCGCCATTTTTTGCAGGAAATTACAGGAAAAATATGGCGGGTTCTTTAGGTCGGCACCTAATATTAGGTTGTTCAAATAATTCTGTGCCCTCTCTGAATACAGGGGTAGAGGGCACAGAATTATGTTAAAAACTTAATAAAGAAGAAAACCTAGCTTTAACAACGTTATTTGATGATTTTTAAAAAAAAATTAAAATTTTCATACCAAAAGTTCTGCGAAATTCCAATAAAAATTTTTTTAATTAAAAATTTTTTAAAACTCAAAAATTTAGTTTTTTCCTAAAAAAGCTAACCAAATTAACGTTGTTTATCAAAAAGCCCGTAGATGAGAGGATTGACGATTGGATTTACGACTATCAGGGAGTTGAGGAAGGGTAGCGTCACCGACGCCACTTGTTTTAGCGTGCCTTCGGAAGGCGCTAATGTATTCATGACAGCCAGCAGATTGTACGGCGTCCAAAAGGTCAAATACGCTACGATAATGAAGGCGGCTTGACGTTTGGCGCGCTGAAAATAGAAAAATTAAGAATTTCTAATGAATTTTTTTTTAAGTTTTAAATTTTGCAAACGTTTTCTAGCCTAAGAATATTAAGCCTGAGCCTAGAACTTCTAAGCCTTGACCTAATATGCCTACTAAGTCGAAGCGTACTTATCTTAAGTCTACTAACAATTGTAAGCCCAAGCCTGCCAAGCACTACTAAGCATAAGCCTAATAAACAAGGGTTTAATAAGCCGAAGCCTACTAAGATTAAGTCTACAAAGTATACGTTTAAAAAGCCTACTAACCCTAAGCCTACAAAGTAAGCATACTAAGGCCAAGCCTACTATGCCTAAGCCTACGGAGTATAAGCTTGCTGAACCTACTTACAAGCCCAAGCCTACTGAGCCTAAGCCTACTAAGCCCAAGCCTACTAACCTTAGGCCTACTAAGTATAAGCCTACTAAGCCTAATCCTACAAATTCCAAGTTTACTAAGTAAGACTACTAAGCTTAAGCCTATTAAGCCTAATCCTACTAAGCTTAAGCCTACTAAGCTTAAGCCTACTAAGCCTAAGCATACTAAGCCTAAGCCTACTAAACCTAAACCTACTAAGTCTAATCCTACTAAGCCTAATCCTACTAAGCCTAAGTCTACGAATTTTAAGTGTACTAAGCCTAAGACTACTATACCTAAGCCTAATTAGCTTAAGCCTACTAAGCTTAAGCCTGTTGCCTTTAAGCCTACCATTACTAAGACTTTTATTTTGATAATGGGTTCTAACTTACTTGTCTAGCCAACGTAATAGTCTGCAGTGCAAAAGTCCCAACAATTTTGGGTGTAGCTAACGATAATCGATGATTGCCATTCATAGCCGAACTTTCCGTTTTTACCGACGTCGCCGACATGGCACGGTCTCTATAGTTTGTCAAAGTCTTCTTCTTATCAGTATTTAAACAATTTGTGGCATCTGGCTCTTGTTTTAGTGAAACTAATAGTGAAGCCGGCACTTCTGCTACGGAAGGTCTGGGTGTTGTTGTAGGGGTTTTACCGTCACAATCGTATGAATTTGTTGGGCTTGAAGCCTTTTTGTATCGACCGCCGGTGAAAAGACACTCCATTAGACTGGTTTTCCAGGTGGATTCTGAAAAAGAAATATTATGTTAGGGTATGGTACAGTAGGGCAGGGTACGGTACAGTAGGATAGAGTAGATCACGGTAGTAGACTAGGGTACGGTACTTACCTCCAACACTTTTTGGTGTGAACTGGTTCAACAAGCACAGTACCAAAGCGTACGATGCTACGATTATCAGTGCCGGTATCCAAAATACGAACAATAAATGAGCGATATTGTAGATGCGTTCCCATCTCAAAACTTGATGAAACCTTTCAATTAGATCTTTGTTTTCAATTGGTGTCAGCTTTTGGGTACTAATTTGAATATCAATTTCATAACTGATTATGGTCCATACTGGGGTACATTGTCTGAAATGTGGCATTATAGTATTTTAAATGGCAAGAACTTTCTTTACAAAATAACAAATGGCGAGAACTTTCTTTACAAAATGAAAAATGGCAAGAACTTTCTTTACAAAATAACAAATGGCAAGAACTTTCTTTACAAAATAACAAATGGCGAGAACTTTCTTTACAAAATGAAAAATTGCAAGAACTTTCTTTGCAAAACATAAGCTACCAAAAACTTTCTTTACAAAACTTACTTAAACTTTCCCATGCCGGGAGGCTCGAATACTCGAAATACGAATGACTGGGGTATACTCAAGAAAAAGGCGAATACCCACGCCACCACTAACATCTTCCAACATCGTATGTATGAGCGACGTGACGCTTTTAGTGTACTGTAACATAAGATTTATTAATGTGGGTAGGGTACGGTAAGGTTGGCTATGGTAGGATAGGGTAGAGTAGGGTAGGGTAGAGTAGGGTAGGGTAGGGTAGGGTAGGGTAGGGTAGGGTAGGGTAGGGTAGGGTAGGGTAGGGTAGGGTAGGGTAGGGTAGGGTAGGGTAGAGTAGGGTAGGGTAGGGTAGGATAGGGTAAGGTAAGGCAGGTTAGAGTAGTGTAGGGTAGAGTAGAGTGAAACAGGGTAAGTTAGGGCCAGTTAATGCAGGGTATGACAAACCTACCTTAAGTTATACGTTCCAAATACCCGGTCAATAGCAATACATGCTACAACAAACGAATTCAAATAAAAGCCAAAAGTGTGGAAAAATTTGCATAAACGGCATAAAAAGTCTCCACCGTACCACTGAAAATGGTTTATTAGTACAATAATATCAATATCCCCCCTTAAAATAAAAAAGTCACCCGCCCCCCCCCCTCATTGCAAAAGTTAAAATTTATTATAAAATAAAATTTTTTCTCCCCCCTCCCTTAATAACCCCCCACCCCTACCCAGTAAAAATACCCCCCCCTCCCCCTCCTTGTAAGTCTAATATTAACATACCTGATATGTGATCATCCAGATGATTTGCGAAGTAGTATAAACAAACATTGTCAACAAGTCGGCAATGTTCAGGTTCAGGCGTAGCAACGTGATTTGTGCTGCTGAACGTGCCGCCGTCGGCGAGTTTTTGGTTTTTTTCATATTCTTCATTAGTCGATAAAATGACACGGCATTCAGGGGTCCGCCTATTAGAAGGCATATTGTGTATATCATGATTTCTAACTGAAAAAATGGTTTATAAGACTTGAGTAGCTAAAAAGCTCAATTTTAAATTAAAACTTTAAGATTTCAGTCTAAAAAATCATAAAATTATTGCTAAGCCTAAGGGGGATCATCTTATTAAGCCTAACAAATGCATAGTATAAACCTACAAGACTATGATTTAAAAGCTTAAGCCTAAAACTGGTTTTATATTTAGACCAAAGTCTTAGCATAAGCCTAAGCTTAAGCCTAAATGTAAACGTAAGCTTAAGTCTGAGCCTGAGCATGAGCCTGAACTCAAACCGAAGCCTTACTTTCAACCTGGTCTTATACCTAAACTTAAGTTTAAGCGTAAGCCTAATTTTAAGCCTAAGGTTATGCCTAAGTTTAAGCCTAATCCTAAACATAAGCCTAAAGCTAAGCCTAAGACTACGCTTAAAGTTAAGTCTAATTTTAAGCCTAAACTTAAGCCTAAAACCAAGCCTAAGACTAAGCCTAAAATCAAGCCCAAAGTTAAGTCTCAGACATAACCTAAGGTTAAGCCTAAGACTAAGCCTAACGTTAAGCCTAAACCTAAGACTAAGCCTAAGCCTCAGCCTTAGCCCCAGCCTCAGATTACTAATTATTTAATGTAAATTTGCATAATTACCATATTTCCACAGTAATTACCACTGTTTCTACCGTAATCTACAACAATCTGCGTGCGTAATTGCATCGACAATCAAGTGCAGAAGCTAATTTTAACAAAACTCATAAATAATTCACAAAAAAAAGTCATAATTAGATGTAAACAATGGCGCATTCCGAGAAGACCTACCATTTCCGTAAAGGAGCGGGTCGGCATTGCGGGCGCGGCCGGCGTCGTCTCTGCCGACAGCCATTCGCTGGCATTGTTCATCTGCAAGTTTTTGAAATTGAAATTAAAATTTTTTAAATTTAAATTTAAGGAAATCACGCAAAAAATTTAAAACTTAAAAAAGTTACGTTCAAAGCCTAAACCTTATGTTTAAGATACCAATTAAGCCTAATATTAACTTCAAATAAAATCAAAGCCTAAGCTCACAGGTAATTCTAAGCCTAAACTTAAATCTAAGCCAAGGGCCAAGCCTAAGCCAAACCATGAGCTTAAGCTTGAGCTTAAGCCCAAGCCAAAGCTTGTGTCTGAACTCAAGCCTAATTGTAAGCTTAAGCCAAAGGCCTAAGCCAAAGGCCTAAGCCAAAGGCCTAAGCCTAAGCTTGATGTTAAGCCGAAGCCAACGATTTAGCCTAAGCCAAAGTCATAATCTAAGCCAAAGCTTGAGAGTCAGGCTAAGCCTAAACTAACCCTACCCCTAAGTCTAAGCATGAGATTAAGGCTAAACCTAAACCTAAGACTAAGCCTAAGACTAACTTTAATCCTAAGCCTCAGCCTAATTATAAGCTTTGGCCTACGTCTAAGTCTAAAATTAACCCTAAACTTAAGCTCAAGCCAAAGCCCAAGCTCAAGCATAAGCCAACGCCTAACTTTGAGCCTAAGCCGAAACTTAAGCCTAATCCTACACCGTAACCTCAAACATAAATTAAAACTAACATAAGCCTAAGTTTAGAAATTCTATTACTAAGCCTAAAAATTTCAAAAAGTTCAAAAGCAAGAAATTAAAAACAACAGCAGAGTAAGCAAAACCTGCTGTGTACAAGATGATAGAGTCATTCTTGTTTGGTTTAGCCAGAATGCCATAACAAAATAAAACTCGTCAAGAAGCCGCGAATAAATTCAGAAAACAAAGAAGTTCCACCACGAAAACACAAGCCCCACTTCACCTATTACTGGAATTTGGAGAATTTAGTTTTGCAAAAACACTTCATACCTCCTTTTCGACTAATTTTAGGTGTGGGTTTGGAAAGTTAACGAGCTGAGAATAACAATACATATTAACAGTGACTAGAAGTGGGAAAGGGTAGAATAAGAATAAGTTTGGGCTTGAATGCCGGGCAAAGCAGGGCTGGGAAAGACAAAGTTAAGAAGAAGATAAAGTAGGTAAGGGTAGGGCAAAATAAGACAGGGTAAAGGTCATTTAAGAATTGGGTACAATAAGGCAAAGTAACATAATAAAATCTTGGGTAAATTAGAATATGGTAGGATAGGATAGGATAGGATAGTGTAGGATAAGGCTACGTAGAAACATAGAGTACAGTAAGACTCATATAGACAAAAAAGTATAAGGCGGGGTAAAATAATATAAGTTAGAGACTTTTAGAACACGGTAAGAGAAGTTAAAGTAGAAAAAAGGTATGGTAAGGCACATAAAGGAGACACGCAAGATGGAGTAGGGTACGATATTCTAAGCTACAGTATTGTATAACATGGTCCAGTAGAGTAGGACAGGGTAGGGTAAGGTAGGGTAGAGCAAGGTAGGTTAGGGTGGGGTAGGTTGGAGTACAGTAGAGTAAGGCTGGATAGTGTAGGGTAGAGTAGAGTAAAATAAGTAGGGTGGGGTAGGGTGGGGTAGGGTAGGGTAGGGTAAATAAATAGCAACAACAAGTGATCAAACGTCACAGGCTGAATCCTCGCGTAAAATAAGACACGCATGTGGAGACAAACACGTCTTCTTATCCTGCGAAAAGAAGTTGGCATTGAATGATGGGAAATTAAATTAAAAAAAGCTCCGGCAATTTAGAAATTATTTTAAAAATAATTAAATATGTAAATATTGGTTGTTCAAATAATTCTGTGCTTTTTGTTTTGAAAATTAAAAAAAATGAAAAAGTCGTTCCTCATCGTGCTTACTTTGTACTAGAGCACTTCCGCGTAAAATTGAAAGTTATTTTTAAAAAGGGACATTATAGACGACAATTTATAGTTTAGTTTTATAGAGATTTATAGTTATAAAAGTATTTAATTGTGCATTTAAAAAAATTGTATCTATCTTTTTCAAAAAAAATTTCAAAAAATATTAAGTGCCGACATAAAGAACCCGCCATTTTTTACAAGTAATTACAGGCAAAATATGGCGGGTTCTTTATGTCGGCATCTAATAATAATTCTTTTTGCAAAGAACTAGTCTAACGCTAATTAAAATCCAGCGTTTTTTAATTTAAAATTTAATAAAAGTGTAAAAAACGACTTGTATATATCCGTTTTGAAATTGAAAAAGTAGCATTTTTGATGAATATTTGAGTCTGATGTCTCTTACTAATCCCGTTTCCTGTCATTAAAACCTGAAATGTTAAGTGGGGTTTATCATTATGATGATTTTTAAAAAATATTAAAATATACATACATCAGCATATGTAACAGTTACTTCTTTCATTTACCCGCCCTTTTCCCCCCCCCCAGTAAAATATTTTAAACCCTAACATCTTCCCCCAACCCCTTTACAAGGACGTTAAAGATACAGAGCTTTAGCCCAGAGCCATAGCCCCAGAGCCCTAACCCCAGAGCCCTAGCCTTAGCCCTAGCCCTAGACCCAGAGCTCTAACCCCAAAGCCCTAGCCTCAGCCCCAAAGCTTTAGCCCTAGCCCTAGCCCCAGAGCCCTAGCCCTAGCGTCTCCAAAATCTAACCCTCCCCCCCCCCATCAGCAATAAGAAATAACCTTATTTTTGCCGTTGCCTACCCAATCCCTGTCCGTAAAATTACTATACCCTACATACCACATCCACCCTACCCTTCTCTGATAGGCCTTAGGATATTTAAAAAATGTTTAAAATTTTTAAAAATACTTAAATTGCTTTAGATTAAGGCAATTTTTGTTTGCATTCCAGAAGATTTTATTTTTTTTCCTACTCTTCTCTAACAAAACATTTTTTTTGTAATCCAAAGATTAATTAGAATATCCGGCGTGGGTATCGCGCTGAAGCTGAGTGACAACAAACATGAATGTAAATAATGTCAAATTATACTGCAGTACACAACTAAGGCGTTTTTGAAAAAATATGGCCTAGGGAAGGAAATATGAAGGTATGATGGAGGGGGGGGAGGGGGTGGTGGGGAGAAAGGAGGGAACGGGAACTAGCCGGGGCGGGTGAAAACCTACACTGGACAAGTTAAGAAGGTTAAAAAACCCCCTATTTTCAACATTTTTTACCCTACTCAACCTAAATATTTTATAAAAAAAATTGTGAAATTTGTCCTGTCAATTTTACATAGAGAAAGCCTAAAATTGTTAATTATAAAACACATTTTCGTAAGCCAAAAATTGAAGATCACCTACATATTACCTAAACACTTCAAACATGAAGATATGTTCGTAAAAATCGTATTTAAAGACCAATTATACCTAAAAAATGTACTTGTCTGATGATAATTAAAAGACACAAAGTGTAGTGTTTAGACAATAACACTGGTAAAAAAACATTTTTAGGCTGATGTAATAAACTTTTTTTAGTCAAAATTTTTTCTTTGCCCAAAAATTTTGCCCCGCCGAAAAATTTTACCCCGCCCAAAAATTTTACCTCGTCTAAAAGTTACACATTGCCCAAAAATTTTACTCTGCCCAAAAATTTTACCTTGCCCAAAAATTTTGCTTCGCCGAAAAATTTTACCCGCCCAAAAATTTTACCCTGCCTTTATGTCCTCTCTTACCGGCATATTTTAAATTGCTCTTAATTTCTATTTTACCCTACCCTACCCTACCCAACTTTACCTTACCCTAACCTTATGTTCTAACTTGCCCTCAAATTTTACCTTACGGTAAAAATTTTAACCTACTCTCAATTTTTACCCTACTCTTAAACACTACCCTACTTGTTAAACATCACTGTTAAAATAGTCATATAAGTATTACAAAGAACCGTACAATGTGTGTTAAAACCAAGCTAGTTTAACATAAATTGTTAATCTCGTGTCGCTGAGCCTACGAACCGAGTCCTCCGACAAATTTCAAAAATAAAAAAAAAGTTTTTGAGACAAATGTGTCACGTTAAACTTGAAAATATTATTGTAGTAAACGTAAAAAATGAAAAAAAATGAAAACGTGGTTGGTGGGAAAGATATGTAGTATCATACTTACTAAGTAGGTTACAGAAATATATGTTAGGTGCCGACATATAGAGATGTATCTATCTCAAATTGACAAGAAAACCGGTTCACAAAAAAAATTTTAAAAATATTAGGTGCCGACATAAAGAACCCGCCATACTTTTCCTGTAATTTTTTGTAAAAAATGGCGGGTTCTTTATGTCGGCACTTAATATATATATTTCCCTGACCTACTTAAGAAGTATGATACTACTAATAGTATCATAATCTTAGACACATTTACAGAAAGAGGTAGTATCATTTCAGAATTATGTGAAAGGCCTAGTACTATCTTGGTAAAAACGTAGTATAATTTATGTTATGCTATCTCGGCTAAAAAAGGATGTTTGTAGTCTGACATCTATTTACATACAAGTCTGTACGCAAAAGGAAAAAATTAAGCACAACTTAAAAAGATATTCGGATGATACACTACTACTTCCTTGTGTGGGAATGACAAAAAGTACATGAAAAAACATCTTCACATAACATTTATCATATCACGTATCAGGCAATAGTAAACCATCCTACCCTACCCTACCCTACTAAAAAAGGCTTAGGCTTGAGCTTAGGTTTAGGCTTAGGCTTAGACTTAAGCTTAGGATCAGGCTTAGGCTTAGGCTTAGGCTTAATCTTAGGCTTAGGCTTAGGCTTAGGCTTAGGCTTAGTCTTAGGCTTAGGCTTAGGCTTAGGCTTAGTCTTAGGCTTAATGTTAATCTTAACTTTAGGTTTAGGCTTAATCTTAGACTAAGGCTCAGACTTAAATTTAAATTCCTATCTCACCCTATTCTACCCTACCCTACTCTCTTACCTTACCATAAATTACTCTATAGTATCTCACACAACTTTATTCTACCATACGACATCCTTCTTAAAATTACTCTACTTTTAGCCTACCTTT